CCCCCCCCCCCCCCCCCCAAGACGCCAGACCATAAGTCCCAGATTATATTCTAGGGTCCTTAGTACTTAGAACATATAGGTTCCTTTAGGGTGTATCATACTATAGGCACAATAAGGAATCCTAAGCAACCCCATTCTAGCTACCCAGGCTCCTATATGCATTGCCTACGCCCGCAGCGCTTGAACGCGAAACGTCGAAGCCCTTTACGCGTAGACGCCTTCACTCTCGGCCTCAGACGCCAAAACCGCAACCACTATTGGAGAGACCTAATCAACGTGCCCTAAACTCTAAACCCTGAATAGTATGAGGAGGTTCTTGTCGTAATGGCCACTACAAAAACACCCCTAGTGTTAGGACACCCCCTTTAGAGATCGGCGCAACACCCTTGCAAAATCTTCGTACGACTGACCCCTAGGAAAGCCCCTAGTTTAAGACACCCAGCAAACACACTTATAAACTCCTCATAAGACCCCCATGGCCCATGAAAACCCCCTATAAAGAAGGGGCCTAAATAGTCACCAATACCATTTTGGGGGGTTCCTTCTGATAGTTATAGTAGAAAATACCCCCAAACCCTCTTCGGATTATTGAGGCCCCTACCTTAAGTTTTGAGAACCCCCCCCCGCCTAAACCCTAAACCCTAAACCCTAAACCCTAAACCCTAAACCCTAAACCCTAAACCCTAAACCCTAAACCCTAAACCCTAAACCCCGCCCCCCTTGTCGATGTGGAGGAGGCTCTCTTCACCGAGGAGGCCGTATTGCAGGCTGAGGCGGAGGAGCCGAGGTTAACCCTAAACCCTAGACCCTAAAACCCTAAACCCTAAACCCTAAACCCTAAACCTTGAGGAAAGGAAACTGGCGCTGAGGGTTTCTTAGACCTGAGGAACTTCCAGGATTTTCACCGAGTTTTGTGTGGCGTTTTCTACTTTTTTTAAAGATCTGGGGTTTAGGGCTCAGGGTTTACCACCGTTCCGGTTTAGGGCTTGGGGTTTGGGGGTCACTTTTTTTGGATGTTGCCGTCTTCGATGACTTGTCCACGCCGTGTTGAAGGGAAGCCTACGGTTTATGCTTGAAACACTGAACTTTTTAGGGTTCAGGGTTTAGGGTTTAGTACCTTGAACCCTGCCCAATAACAAGGCCTAAAACCTGCGCCATAAAGTCTAAGCCCGAAGCCCCAATGACTCTGTAACCCTAGCTTGGATCCCGAACGCTAGAGCCCAAACCCTAAGTCCTCAAGCCTGAAACCTGAATAAACGCTAGGTTCCTGTAGAGCCAAACCGTCACGGGGGGATCCAAGGCTTCTTGGTGCATTCGAGGAGTGCTCGTTGCTTAACTTGTTGCATGCAGAGGTAGACAGGCAGGGAGGGCTCATCTCCAGCACCGTGTATGCTTAGGGGGGATGGCCAGATGCCGAGATAAGGATGCCTTTCCGCAGCCGTCTGGTATCATCTCTTTGCTCAGTTAGTCAGCCTTGGGCTGATCTCCCGGTACTACGCCATGATTGCCGTCACCATGTCCTCCTCCAGCTCGCGCGTGCTCGCCGAAGGGAATGCAAATCAGTGTGATGTGCGCCGCCACTGCTACATCCTCCCCCCCTGCCCCTTTCCCCCCCGCTCGCCTCCCCCTCCTCCCCAGTAGACGCTGGCGGGAGGTAGTGGGGAGGCAAAATGCCCAGAGCAGGTCAACTGCTCAAACCCAAGCCCCAGATGGGCCCTGAGGGGACGAACCTCCAGGCCCGGCCCCTTCAGCTGGTCCCAGGACCACGGAAGCGGCCCAGAATGCTCCCCAAGACCAGGGAGAAGAGGAGCCAGTGCCCAGAGGCGCAGCTCTACCGGCTGCTCCGCAGGCCGGACGAGGGATGCAGGGGGAGAACTTGGAGGTTCATGGGACTTAGTAACTAGGGTTATTCATAAGGTAACTAGACTATACTAGACTTAGAATTACTTATAACCCCAATTAGGGTACTTATAACCTTACTTACTAAGTCCCATGATCCTCCAAGAAGGCATAGCTCGCAAAGTATCGCGTTCCTATCTGCCTCTGCTTCGCAAGGGTTCAGGAGTTACACCAGCCGCAGCCGGAGGTTTGATCCCCCCGTAAGCCTCTGAACCGATTCTGCGATTTGGGTTCCTACACCGTGAACCCCAAACCCCAAACGCCAACCTGGAAAACCCCTGAAACCCTAAGTTGGGTTTGCAGCAATCTACTTAGAAGTTATACGCAATTAGACTATATGGGGGTTTCCAAAAATAGGGGACCCTAATATAGTACCCTAAATAATAGGATCCTTAATATAAGGACCCCCAAATAAGGTACCCCTAATTTTCGGAATCTCCCATATAGTTGCCTTGTGTATAACTCGTTCCTAAGTCCCATGATCCGAAAAGCCTTGATCCACTGTCGGGAACCCTTTCAGAAGCCCTTCAAGGAACCCTTTAAGGAACCCGATAAGGAATCCTTTAAGGAACCCTTTAAGAAACCCTTTAAGAAACCCTTTACGGAACCCTTTGAAGAACCCTTTAAAGAGCCCTTTCAGAAACCCTTTAAGGAATCTTTTAAGGGGCCCTTTAAAGAGCCCCTTAAAGAAGCCTTGTTCTTAAGTGCAAACCTGTGCGCCTTGGAGGCTGCGCCCGGAGCGCCGGAGGCATCTCGCCGAGCGATTTTCGCAGGCGACGCTGGGATCCCTTTGGAGGGTTTAGGGTTTAGGGTTTTGGAGGGTTGCTTAAGGCTCCTGTTTTGGGTTTCTATAGGGCTCAGTCAAAAATGTTATCAGGCGTCTATAGGGGTTCTGCGAAGGTTCCACAAAGTTATCCTTTTTATTTGCTGGGTTCTAAAAGGGTCTTAAAGGTTTCAAAGGTTTCGGAGGGTTTTTTGGGGGTTCGGTAAGGGTTCTATAAAGGTTATATGAACGGTTTCGGTAAGGGTGTTGAGGGGTTCCGAATGTATCATTAAGTTCTGTGTCACCCCTCGCGCTTTGATTCGCATCTGGGTACGTTCCGTTGATGCCACCTTTGTGTTCGCAAAATGCACGGGCTTGTGTTGTGTCATGGTTCTATCTGTCCCATCAACCTCTGTTAAGCTGCATGTCGCAACGACGCACTGTCGAAGCTCTGACATAGCACCAGCACTTATGCTTCAAACTGCTGTCGCTTCTGCTGCTCTTCTTCCGTCGTGCAATGCGACCATTGCTTGCTTCGGATCAACTTTGACCAAAGCCAATATGAGCTTCATAAAAAACAGAAGCAATGTTGACACTCACCATTGTCAGCTTTCTTCTACATTGTTGAAGGCTCGTCGAGGCCATTGCCGTGCTGGTCATCACCGCTTTGATGGCAATAGCGCACTTGCTGCCACCACAACAGCAGAACGAAGATCATTGCTACTGTTCGGTTTTTTGTAGTCATGCTGCTGTTGGTGATGGTCTATGTTTGTTATTGTTGGCATTTCTGCGATCAATAGACCCCCCCCGGTGTGAGGCAGGCACGGTCATGTATACTCGTGCTACCGTCACTAGTCGTATTTTACTACGGCTACAAATAGAACTAATTAGTATGATACCCACTGATTTTATTTTAAGTTTTCTGTTTCTCCCTCTGTTATTACTGTTGCCACACTCACTAAAACTCTTAACATCGTTCTTCCCAGCCCAAACCCTTAAACTCACAATACCTTCAAATCTAAACCCGAAGCTTCGAAAACCCTGAGCCCTAAACCCTAAGCATTCTTAAAAAAGTCCTGAAACCCAGAGCCTTCTGCCATCAATATAGGGGGCGCCTGCACTATTTAGGGGTACCTTATTATAATCTATAGTATAATATATACCCCCCCCC